ATCATTAAAGGTCTATCCAGATATAGTAATCATTGTCCGAAAAAGATAAGAAAAAAAGAAAGAAAAGAAAAAGAAAAGAAAAAAAAGAGAAAGAAAAGAAAAAGAAAAAGAAAAAGAGAAAAAAAGTTAGGAAGGAGAAGCTTGAGGATTCGTGTCTAATAAAAAATTGGTTCTATATTTGATCTTTTTAAAGTATAAGACTTGAGAAACTCTTAAGCTTATAGATATAATATAGTAAGTAAAATTATTTTTAATGAAAATTTTTAAGTGAAGATAATAAAAGAACTAAATTCTAAATTTGGAAAATCTACAATATATTCCTGAAGTAGATAGAAACTCATATTTTCATCTTTCTTAACATTAAGAATTTCTAAACTTTAAGTTGGTCTCATTTACTGAATATTTTTTCTAAATTAGACTGCTATATTTCTAAATGAAAATTTTAGTAACTCCTAAAGAAACTCATATACATATAAAACATATTTAGATTAAAGTGTCACTTGAGGACAAGTAACATTTTAAGTTTGGGAGATTTTGTTACACCTAAAATATATAGTATTTTTAGACACATTTTCATACCTATTTTTGAGATATTGCGCTTTAATGGAAGGTATTTTTGTGTTTTTCTTGCAGATACAGGTAAAAAAAAGGGTGAAAATACTTAAAGGAGTGAAAAAGGATCAAATTTGGAGCAAAAAGGTGAAAAATGTGAAAAAGAGTTTTGGCGCCTAAACGCCAGATCCGGCAATTAAGCGTTGATTAAACAGAGAAAGCCGCGCCTAAGCGCCAGAGGCCCCGCGCCTCAGCGCGAACTAGTGGCAGTTACTAGACGAGTAAAGTCAGATTTTATGAATTTTGAAGAGGTTTTTGAGGCACCCATTGGCTTAATAGGTGGTTATAACCACCATGGAAAAAAATTATCACAAAAGGATGCATCTCTTGGGGAAATACATCGAATCTAAATATATTTTGAAAATAAACCAAGGCACATTTTAGAAAATTTTAAAAGAAAGAAGAGAGGACTTAGAAAAGGGTCCTAAAAGTATTGAAAAGTTTTGAAAGTTTTCATTTGGGGAGTTTGTTCAGAGACATTTTCAGGCACCACTTTTACTTTTATTTTATCCTTTTTGCTATTTAATTTTGAGCAATTGTAAAAAGAAGAGAATCAAAGGAACTTCAAGAGTTTAGTGGAAGACTTGAGATAAGTTTTTATCTTTTGTTTTAGATTACTTTTTTTTTTAATTGAGACTTCTTGTTGGTTTGATAATGATTTCTAATTTTAAACTAAAGTGTGGTTTTATTTTCTCCATGGAT